AGGTTTAGGTTGCAATCTTGCTTGATAATGGAGTCTTGTGCTTAAAGAGCTTCCCGACTAAAAATCTGGTGTTAGGATTCTTACGAAGGTTTTATTTCTGCTATTCAAAGATCGAAGTAGCAGAACATTGGTCAAAAGAATCACAAAGCTCAGATGCTTTAGGCGCCTTTAAAAAAAGAGAGACCTGCTTCTTTGTTCTATAAACTAGGACAAGAATGAAATGGTTTTGCTCAAAGCGTTGGCATGCTTCAGAAACCGGGAACTTTACTGAAAGAGGTTTTGTATAATCAGTTGCTGGCAAGTTCATCAACCAAGAATAGGAGGAGGTTTCAGAGGGAGAGAGAAGGAAAAAGAATAGGAATTACAGAATCGTATTTTGTGGAAGCTTTTTTAGATGGGTACACTTCGGGTATTTTTGGAAGTTATAACAGTCACATGATACATATTTGAATGGTTTATGACAGAACATTAATGATAAGGGAACTATTAATCAATTTTCAGAAACAAGGTATAAGTAAGGATACACTTAGTCAATTAATTAAACCATAAAGGTAGTTTAAGAAATTTAAATTAAAATAAAATAAAGTAAAAACTTAAAGCCAACCATCTAAGGGTGAACTCCTCTCTTTGAGTGCATGTCTGAAAAGTGTTCAATTCAGTGCTTACCCTATACTGTTATCATTTAGGGGGTGTTCTTTTTTCAGATTTTGAGAGAGGGGGAAAGTTGGTCAATTGGATTTTGGTTCCTATTGACCAAGAATCCCTTGTTCTTTTTTCAGATTTATGTATGGACCAAGGAAAATTTATTATCTTGGTATGCGGGTAAGTGATACCCATCTCCTTTCCCGCCGAGGGGGAAAGTTGCTAACACTTGAATGAGACAAAAATGCCATTTTTAATAATGGATTTTTATGACTAAAATGGTCATTGCATTATTTACATGAGAAATAAAAGAACATGAGTAAATGCACTTACCCGGGTAAGTGTTTCCTAGGAAAAACTTATGTAACTACATTTACCCGGGTAAATAACTTATCGAAAAACGAATGGGGCCTTAGTGGTTGTACCATATTGGTTGTTCGTCATCATTCGATTCGTCCAAGTTAGCTTTTTCTTGCTGTTTTATGTCTTTGATATGGTAAGGCATTCTATCTTTATAACTTTTTTTTTTTATATGCGTTTTATGTTGCTATCGAATTTGAGTATATCCCAATTATCCCTATTCCCCACTCAGAAAAAGATTTTCATTCTTTTTTTTTCAAAACTTTTATTCAAGGTTTTTAAAATCAGATCGGACAAAAAATCATTCTGGGTCCGGTTTTTGGTTCAAATGGTCCAATTGTTTGATTTGAAAGGATGATTCGATCTAACAAAAAAATTTAAAATTAAAAAAAACCTAAAAAAATGGCCAAAAATCATTTTTCAGGTTGAATAGTTTGATAATTTGACCACCTGAATCAATAGTTCATTCACCAAATCAACGGTTTTTTTTGGCCAAAAGCCGTTCTCCCTGTGATCTACACTATGTAATATGAAAGATAAAAAAAGTTGTAAACCTAAGATACTGGAATGACTTTATACCGGAAGAACTTTGATCAAACAAATCCTTTGAATACCAATCGATTGGTTATCACTTTTATGATAAGAGTTGATTGCTTATAATTTTTTTTTTCTAATATCACGTGTTTTTTGGTGTCATAATGGAATCCAAAAAGATATTAAAATAAGAAAAAATCTTGTGCTCTTTTCAAATGATAAGGTATAATTTCGTTTTATGGTAGATGACAAGTCATGCCTCTGTTTTTTGTGAAAAAAAAATTGGATGGTAAAGGAGCGAAAATACATCTAAAAATTCTCCACCTATTTGAAATCAGGAAATTAACTCTATTGCAAGGTTTTTAGAATTGATTCGGACAACGAATTGGTCAGGGGTTCAGTTTCTGGGTCAAATTATCCAACTGTTTGAACTGAACGGGCAGTCTATTCTAACAAAAAAATTTAAAATTTTTTAAAAAATAAAAACCGGCTAAACTATTGAATGGTTTAAACGGCTCAGCCGCCCAAATCAACGATTTACTGACCAAATTAATAGTTTTTGAATAACGGAATCGATCACCTAATTGATTCCCGATTTTTCCAAAACCATGCTCTATTGAAACTTGGCATACCAAAAGAGTAAGAACAAAGCGAGATCAGACTGAAATTAGGACATCTTTGGAGAGGGTGATGGTAAATTAATTATTGAAGGAGTGGGGATCTGTTTCAACAAAAAACTGCTCAGAACATGGGCTAACCCCGTTGTGTAGCCCTTTTGAAGAAAAAACAAAAACAAAAGGGCGAACCAGTGTGTCATGGAATATGTTGGGACAATTTTTGTTGTGAACAGATCCCATCCCACGAAAAAGTGGGAACCAGCTTGGAGAATAAATCTGTTATTTATTAAGATGTTGGTACATCTATGCGCAGGGGTGCCAATTCTGCAGTGTATTAATAGGAGTTTACTCAACAGACAAAAGCAGTACTTAGATAAGTGAATATTTTTTATTTTTTATTTTATATTTGTTTTGTTTTGGTAAAAGATAAGTGAATCAAGCATTACCAATCTGGGTCGTTAAAACGAGGCATTAGTCTCAATACATGACGGGGATATGCTGTGGGGCGTTATGGGGCGGAGATGTAAACTCTCTCTTTGTCACTGGACTGACATTTTATTTTTCATAGAATTCCAGAATTTAACCACAATTGAACTATTCATGAAATTCTTCAAAAAAAAGTTGAAAACTCGGATAACAATACAGGTATTCCCAAGAAATAGACCAAAGGTGCTAATCATGCCAATGCCATTTCTAATGGTTGGTGAGAATATCTACTGGTGTCAATGGTTGATGATAACAAGAAGGAAGAGGTCATTATTTCTAGGGACCACACATTGTAATGTCAATTAACGATGGACTTGACTACTTGAGTATATATTTTTCAAAGTTTAGTCCATATTTAATATTATTTATTTTAAGTACTTATTTGGTGGAATCACACAATAAGTTGTAAAAGCACTTATTTGATGAAAAAAGGAGTGAATAAATGCTTATTTTCAAAAGTAACCTAGAGGCTGCTTACTTTAAGCACTAATTCCAATTTTTTTGGGATAAAACTGTTTCCATCGTTTTTGTTTTTCTCAAAATCCCGTTGAGCATCTTCTCCATTTGAGTTCCAACATGAGCCAATGGCGGTGACAGGGGACTCTAGGTTGAGAAATTGTTTCAATTACATGAATTCTCTCTCTCTCTCTTCATTCTTTGCTCCGTTTTGCTCAATTCTTTATGGCTATAGTTGTCTTTTCTGTAAATAAATATAAGTACTTATTGATTAAGTACCTCACCAAACACTATAAATCAAATCTTTACAAAAAGAAAAAAAATACACTATAATTCAAATAAATACTTAAAATAAGTCTAAGAGGTTTAGGAACGAACCTCCCAAACACTAATAAATATTTGTGAAATGAATACTTATTTCTCAAACCACTTATTCATCAAACATAGCGTTTAGAACACTAAGATGTTAAATCTAAAAATTTTGACACTTGAATATGAACTTGAATTTGATTCTCAAAGAACATTCTTCACACTAACATGCATTGAAAACATTTCATATACTTAATATACTAGTGGAGGGGGCCCTGCGTTGTAGGGGTTTGCTCATAAATTATCAGGATCGAGCTCGAGCTCGAGCTCGACTCAAGTCAAAAGCTCAGAAGTTCGAGCTCGACTATCTTTGATTGCAGGTCTCTCAAGCAGTTGAGGTGCCGAGATAAGGTCTCCCTCAATTGTTGAGGTGCCAAACCGAGGTCTCCCTTAGCTGTTGAAATGTCGAGTTGAGGTTTCCCTAGCAAGTGAGGTGTTGAGCTAAGGTCTCCCTTAGTTGACAAGGTGCCAAGCTGAGGTCTCCCTTAGTTGACAAGGCGCCAAGCTGAGGTCTCCCTTAGTCGTTGAGGTGCCAAATTGAGGTCTCCCTTAGTTGTTGAAATGTCGAGCTGAGGTTTCCCTAGCAAGTGAGGTGTTGAGCTGAGGTCTCCCTTAGTTGACAAGGCGCCAAGCTGAGGTCTCCTTTAGTTGTCGAGGTGCTTAGCTGAGATCTCCCTCAGTGACCGAGGTGTCGAGCCGAGGTCTCCCTCAGCCGTCGAGGTGTCGTTTAGCTTAAGAATTAGAGACTTGAGTTTGAGCTCGAGCTCGGCTCAAACTCTATTACCTTTGATTACAGGTCCCCTAGTAGCCGATATGCTGAGCTGAGGTCTCCCTCAATTGGAGAGAGAGAGTGTCATTCTCGTAATTTATATGGAGAGAGAGAGATGGCATTCTTGTAATTTGTAAGAAAAAGAGTGAGAGAGAGATGGTAGGAGAGAAAGCGACATTATTGTAAATTGAAAGAAAAAAAGCAAGAGAGAGAGAGAGACTGGTATTCTTGTAATTTGAAAGAAAAAAAAAAAAAACAAAAGAGAGAAATGGTAGAGAGTGGCATTCTTGTAATTTCTATGAAAAAAAAAACAAAAAATATCGTTAGTTCCATTTCATCCGCCGGTTACTATACATTTCAGCTTATTGTATTTATATAGATATAGATTTTCATTGATGATGATGGATCCAATGCAGAACGACTGCTGTGTGGAGAACGAATTCAAATCTTCTACCAACAAAACACATTCCTGCCTTCTACCAACTTGATCTAACACTACATATCTCACCACGAGACTGGGACCTACCATAAAAGTGAGACCCGTCATAATTGAGATGTGCGGTGTGAGATCATGGTTGGTTGTTAGGAGCTAGGTTTGCAATTCAGCAAATCTGACAATTAATACAAGTAGTTGCAGCTCAATGTACTCGCACCAACCGGAGACAGTACATTGCATTGGGCCCATAGTACCCTACTAATTTGTTATATTAATCGTTCGTCGTGAGACAAGTCTGAGGTACCGCGCTGAACACTACATGCTACGTACGACAATATTAATTCCTCTACAGCAAACACGTTATTAGTATTTAGATTGCAACTTGCAAGTTATTGCGTGTAGTGGGGCGACTGAGAGTGAAAATGGGGTTTGCGGCCGTTAGAGTCCCAAGTGTCGGTTCTCCAACGGTCGGCACCGGTGTTACCCGGCAACGCAAGCCACATTTTCCGGTGAAGAATGTCCAATTCCCTGGAATTCGTCTCGTTTCCAAACCCAATTCATCGATCATTAACGGGGAGTTCCAATCCTTCCCACCAGCTGCCGGAGCCGCTGATCGATCTTATCAGGTGAGTTTTGACTGAGCAATACCTTCTCTCTCTCTCTCTCGAAATTTGGGTGAAATGGTGTAATTATATATGGTGGGTCAGGTGCAGTGGAGTGAAGGGGCGCCGGGCATTTCGACGGAGGACTTGGGATTGGGCAAGCAACAACCGTTGCTGGAGCTTGGATTCACCACTAACTTGGTTCAAATAGGTATTTCCTTTCTTTTTCTTTTCTTGTACATTACTTAAATTAGTAAATATTAGGAGGTAGCAATAGCGTAAATTAATGTGCGTTGTGAATCCAACATGTAAGGCGTATAGAAACTGCTGCTTTTCCCAACAAAATCCTCGTCTCTTACTTTCTCTCTTACATGTACATGGTCATATGACTGATATCCAGTTTTACAGTAGGGATTTGTTGCGGCCCAATTATATATAATGGGACAGCTAAACCATCAAATTTTCTTCTGCTCCACGTGGAGGTTGTAAATCACCGTTGAAGTGATAAGACGTTAACGGTCAAGTAAACAAAACAGTTAGAGTTGATCAGTTCAAATTGTTTATTTGCTTTTGCTGAAATATATTACTGGACATATATATATCCTGATCCTGTGAGGTAAGCCGTAAACAAGAGGGGTACTTGTTATCTTATTGATCAGAGATGGTTGTTAAGATTTAGAAACTCGCTTTATCAGTAGTAACCTGACCTAACTCTGGATTTTCTTTTCTATCTTATTTCCATCTGCCATCCTTAATTGTCCTCTCTCATCTCAACAACTAATTGAAATCGTTTAATGGTTTAAATTAATGTGGATGAACAAGTCATAATCTAGATGAAAGTGGAAACCCAATTGGTAATTAATCCATAAAAATGTTTTTTCGTTTTCCCTCCAAATTGCAAGCGGTGGGTGCAACAATATGATGGCAGTGATGGCCGATCCCATCAGTTAATTATTAGATTTAATTTCACACATATATATATATATATATTCTTAATGTAATGTATGTATAGTAACAGTCTTAATGATTAATTCTTAACAGAGCCTCTCATCTCAACCAATAAAGACAAAGACAAAGTCAGCAACCCTAAGACCCAGAATGCAAATAAGGAAGAAGGACATGATCATAGGGTGGAGGGAGGTTTCGTTGTTCCGGAGAGCAATACCTTTGGCCACTCGTTCAGGTCACGTCTTTCTTAGATTGTCATTTGAGTTAATACTTATTAGTTTCTTTTCTTTCAGAGCTGAAATTATTGTTGATGAATGGGTTTCAGGGACTATGAGAAGGAAAGTGAAAGAAAGGCGAGCGTGGAGGAATTCTACAAAAACAACCATATTTACCAGACCTATGAATTCGTAAGAAAATAATTAATCTATTTCCAAATATACATACCAGAGTCCAGAGGTACCAGAAATAGAGGTAGATGTGGGTGGTTATAACTTCTAAAATAAAATATTATTTTAACATTGGACATGTCTGTTCTCTGTACACAAGTCCCACATGGAGACTGGAGCCCATATGCCAGTGTTACGGAACACTGCAGCTATACACAGTAGTGGTACGATCAGCAGATGGG